CCTATATAGGATCTGAACCCGCGGCCTTGGTGTTATCAGCACCGCACTCTACCGAGTGAGCCACGGGCCGGCCCCAGTGGGATACTTTTAAGAGCAAAAGTGGGTATTATTAACAAATGGGACCAACATGTAAACAGGGACTCTCTCAGGCAAACTGGGAGGCTTGATCCCTTATACCTGTTTTCTTAGTTTCCTTTTGAAGATAATATTAGCTTCAAGTTCTGGTGGGGAGAGGCTTATTTCTGTGTACTTTAGGGTCAGTAAGATAGGCATAGTCCTATGCAGTGGATATTGTAGAGGAGTGGAAAGTGGAGCTGGAATTACAAGTAATGATTTAAGGGCCAGCTGTGGCTCACTTGGGAGAGTGTGGTGCTGATAACACCAAGGCCATGGGTTCGGATCTCTATATAGGGATGGTCAGTTGGCTCACTTGGGAGAGCGTGGTGCTTACAACACCAAATCAAGGGTTAAGATCCCCTTACCGGTCATCTTTATGATTTAAGTTGCTTTATATTATATTTGTTTAGCATCAGGAAACTACTTTGCCACCACAAAGTGAACCTTATCAATTCACAATGGTTACCACCTTTTTTGATGGTTTTCTCTGTGCCCAGCCTTCAGTTTCCCATTCATTTGAGACATTTTAGATATCTGACTCAATGTGGGGTACTTTCTGTTCTTGATTCTAGTATGTCAGGAAAGCTGAATGCTGTTGTAAATTAAGAAACCCATCAACATGGGGAGCTCAGTGGCAAAGAGCAACCTCATTCTTCTCTTGGAAATAACTCCTATTTGACCTTTCACTTTTTCTGCTTCCTTTTCATAGTAACACTCTTCTCTTGCCTCTTGGGCCTAGAAAAAGAGAACCATCATTTGCAGGTGGATTGTCAGTTCTGGAGAAGTTTGCTGTAAGTTTGTGAGTTGAGAGCAGATTTTTGTATTTTCTTTCCTTTTTTTTGGCAGCTGGCCAGTATGGGGATCTGAACCCTTGACCTTGCTTGGTGTTATCAGGACTAAAGTCTAACCAAGTGAGCCAATCAGCCAGCCCTGTAATATTTTCTTGATGTTAATGTCTTTCTCCAGTTTTTTGAAATCCTTTAAAATTAATTATCAGATGTGTTCTATCCACAGAAAACTATAAATTCATTTCAATGTAAATTTCTAAATGAGAGACCCTAGGGAGGTTCATTTTTTTGGTTTGTTTCTCCAAGATCATATAATACCTTAGAATTGATGTAAGGTAGACTGTTGAGCCTGATGTTTTGAAATAATTATGCTTCAACAATGGCTTGTGAAATGGTTTTGTGCTTTCTTTTATCAATCATTGTCTCTTGTACATCTCCTCTATTGTCCTTCTCATAGATCAGTGGTTTGGAACTCTGGCCGCATATTAGAATAACCTGGGGAGCTTTTAACAAATATCAATGCCCAAGCCTCTTCCCAGAACAAACCAGAATCTCTCGAGGTGAGACCAGGCATCAGTATTTTTAGGAGCATCCCAGGAGACTCTAATGTACACCCAAGGGTAAGAGCCACTATCTGAGCTGCTCAAGGAATACTGTCCTGGCAGAGATGTCACCAGAGCTATAGGTGCTGTCCATCAGGCAGAGTTAATGGAACTCCCACTCTGAATGGAGCTCCACACAGTGGCTGTGCATTAGTTACTAAGGTGATAGAAAATCTATCTTTAGGGAGCTGACAATCTGACATGGGAAATATAATTATGAGAATAAATTCAGTAAACTCAAGTGACAGGAATTCTGACACAGGTGGTAGTTTACTGAGTTCCAAATAATTTGGGGGAGAGGGAGCTGGCCAGTTAGTTCAGTTGGTTAGAACATGGTGTTAAAACACCAAGGTCAGTGGTTCGGATCCCTGTACTGGCCAGTTGTGAAAAAAAAAAGAAATGACTATCTTTGATCTTGGCCTTTTGCATGTCTGTATACATTTTAGAATCGGCTTATCAAGCTCCAAAAATCAAATAAGTCAACAATAACAAAACGCTGTCTGTTAAGATTCTGATTGGAATTGCACTGAATATTTTATTCTAGATTTTTAACATCATTGATCAAGAGTGATATTGGCCAGCGGTTTTCCTTTCTCATAGCAACCTTATTAGATTTTGGCATCCTGGTTATGCTAGCCTCATAAAATGATTTTTTATGACAGAGTTTTCCCTTTCCATACTCTGGAATCACTAGTGTAAAATTAGAATTATTTGAACCTTGAGTGTTGGTAGGCAATGGTTAAAACCATCTCGGTTTGGGGTGTAATTTGTGACAAGATTCAGTTTCCTTAATACGCTGGGAGCGCAGTAGCGCTCCCGCCGCGGGTTCAGATCCTATATAGGGATGACCGGTGCACTCACAGCTCTCACTGGCTGAGCGTGGTGTGGCCGGTCTCAAAAAGGACAAAAAAAACCCCACCAAGGTTAAGGGTTCAGATCCCCGTACCGACCAGCTGCCAAAAAAATAAGCAAATAAATAAATAAATTGGGGAAAATAACCTGCTTACAACTACCACCTGCTTTCTTGACATACAGGTTCTTTGGGCTTTAGCATTACTGGAGCTTTTATGTTCTGTTGCTTACCACAGATTGGAGAACATTTTTTTTAATTTAAACTTTATTTATTTTTGAATAGGTATTACATTTATATCATTCAGAATTGAAAATATATAAAAGACTGTACGATGGTGGAGGCACTGGCTGGTTTGTTCACTCAATAGAGCATGGTGCTGATAATGTCAGGGTCAGGGATTCAGAGCCCCATACCAGCCAGCTACCAAAAAAAAAAAGTGTACACGGAAAAGTTTCCCTCCCATTTCTGAATTCTAACTGTAAGTTTTCCTCTATGGAGGCAAGTTAAGTTCCATATACATTCTCTACATATATAAGCAAATATGTACTGGTAGGTATATATATATGTGTGTGTATGGGTATTCATTTATTTTTTCCCTCTTTTTTACAAGTGGTAGCATACCTTAAATACTGTTCATTACCTTGCCTTTTTCATTATGATTGTTCCATATTGGTGTGTAAAGAGCTTTCTTCTTCTTCTTCTTTTTTTTTTTTATACATCCATTGTATAGATGAACTTCAGAATTGTAAATCAGTTGCATGTTGATGGACATTTAGATTGTGTCCATCTTTTAATATTACAAACAGTACTGTAATGAGGAACCTTGAACTTGTATTCACAGATATGTGAGTTTACCTAGTAGCATTTTGTATCCATCTTGCAGGCTGGCTGCTGGCTCTACAAGGTTCTGTGCTGGCATCCTGAGCACTGCCAGGCACTTGACCATTGAACAGAAGATGGCAGACTATTCAAACAAACTGTACAGTCAGTTAGAGCAGGAAACGGGGATTCAAACAGGTAAGCAGGTAATCTGCTGTTTACTTGTCTGCCTGTTCCCTAGACTTTTTTACTCAGTACTGTATTTGGTCCTATACCAGGTTTGCCTGGTGATTTGATTATTAAGACTTGGATTACAGTCCATGCTCTGCCACCAGCCAGAGTGTCACCTTGAGCAAGTCACTTAGCTTATTGAGCTGTCTTCAATTTCACTGTCTATAAAATAAGGGTATTCGATCCATATCCTAGATCCTTTTCAGATCCTGTAATTCTTGTCATTATATGAAAGTTTTTCTGGGCCATTTCCTATATATTTCACTCATTTATGTATAGTAAATGGCAACACTTGGCTCTAAATAAAGAGGAGAAAGAACTTAAGTCTAGGTGCTTAATCGTTAAATTGTAGTTTGACCCACTGAACTTCACCAGTAGCTATTAAGTATGTTTCTGGTTATAAAGCATAGACATATATTTCTTATACCTATATGATTAGGGGTTAAAGGACATAGAGAATTGTAAGCTAAATAGTACTGGAATAAGCAGGAACTGTTCCAGAAACAGTTGTATACTCTGATCCCATATGATAACAAGTGGAAAGAGAGTCTCTCAGTTTATGGTAAGGGGATGACTAAGCGAGAAACCCAGAGTCAAGTCCAGTCTTTTGGCTGATGAAACGGTTCACTTGGTTCACCCTAGTGCCTACCCTGTGATGACACCACATGGGGTCATTGAACTTGACCAGGCTTCCCTTTGAGAGGCAGGGGCTCTGGAGTAGACATCATAAAAGTTGTTCTTCTGTGCTGTCTCTGGCTTTTACTGGGGAAGACGCCTGCCTTGCAAGTGGCAAATAGTTCCTTTTGGTTGGATTGAATTTGATGGCAAGTAGGTGCTTGAATCGGGTATTACCCAGGATTTGAGTCAGAAGAGGGTCCAGAGAATGGGCCGGCAATGGAGTGGCTGATCCTGGCCCACTGGTTCAGTTACTAATGCTTTTCTGAGCCTAGCGTCACTCAGCTGGTTAGATTTCAGAGGAATCTGGGTCTTAGGCTTCATTTCTGTGAGGTAAGTTAGCCTCAAGTTAGTTCTAGGTCAGTCTGGAACCCCTTATTTGGCCTGACTTTGATGTTTGTGGGGCAGGGTCAAGGGAGCAGTGAGGAAGTCAGGCAAGGGAGTGTAAGGGGATCACTGAAAATCTATCACTCACATTGTGGTATACCAGTGATGCAGTGAAAGATAGCTTGGGCACTTCAGCAATGGAGAATTCTGTTAACTGGCAGTGTGTACATGTATACACTAGCATGGTAATTGTTATCCAGCGGACTGCTTTTGAATCATAAAATAAAAATGAAGTGACATGTGTACAATATAGATTTAATTAGAAGGGTATTATATGCTAATCCTCTGAAAATAGTTCATCTAGGTGAGGTGTATGTTAACTACTTTTTAATCCAAAGTACTGGACCACTAACCTCATTCCTTGACTGATGAATATTAGTTTCTGCAGTGCTTCAATTTCATGCGATATAATTTTTGTCAGGTGAATGGAATGAATGTGATTATCGAAAAGTTTTAATAATGTTTTAAAAGTATTGCATATATTATTTGATTTTATGATAAGGAGTGGTCATTCTCTTACAGATAAAGAAACCTAGATGCAGGGAGATTAAGCCAATTTTTCAAGTCAGTGACAATTTAATTTTTTAAAATTATTTAATGGGTTAAAAAATTTTGTAATTTTGGGCCGGCCCGGTGGCGCACTGCTACAGTGCGCCGCTTGGGAGCGCGGTGGCGCTCCCGCCGAGGGTTCGGATCTCACGTACAGACCGGTTCCCGCTCACTGGCTGAGCGAGGTGCGGGAGCAACACCGAGGGTTGCGATCCCGTTGCCGGTCCCCGGTCCGGTACGGGGGCGACACTGAGGGTTGCGATCTGTTGCCGGACACGGAAAAAGACAAAAAGGAAAAAAAAAATTTTTTTTTTGTAATTTTGAGCACATATATAATAAGTTATATTCTCATTATAAGAAATATGAACAATACAGAAACACAAAAAGTGGAAATCTTTCCTCTATACTGAATATCCTTCAAAAGGCTACCACTCTGTTTAGTTTGTACCCTATTAGACTTTTTTTTTGTATGTGTATATAGGTATACTTATTTCTTTTCTTTTTTTTTTTTTTTGTCTTTTTTGTGACCTGCTGCACCGCGCTCAACCAGTGAGCGCCGGCCATCCCTATATAGGATCCGAACCCGTGGCGGGAGCGCTGCTGCGCTCCCAGCGCCATACTCTCCCGAGTGTGCCACGGGGTCGGCCCTAGGTATACTTTTTTTAACTAAAATTTACTAAGCATGTTATTTTATACCTTGTTTTTTTTTTTTTTTTTTTTTTTTTTTTTTTGGGATCCGAACCCTCGGACGGGAGCGCCGCCGCGCTTCCCAAGCGGCGCACTATCCAGTGCGCCACCGGGCCGGCCCTATACCTTGTTTTTTCTACTTAAGAATGTTTTGTACAAAAATATACATGCAGAAGTTTAGGTTATTTATTATAGCACTGTTTAATTACAAACATAAGGTTGCAAATTTAAATGCCCGTACATAGGAGATTGGTTGAATAAAATGGTATATCCACACAAAGAACTACTAGGTAAGTGAGAAAAGAATGAGGAAGATCTCTATGAATTGCTATAGAACGATTTCAGGGATACATTGTTAAATAAGAAGTATAAAAGAGTACATATAATGATAATGTACTACTTTTGTATAAGAAATAAGGAAATGTGTCTGCTTATTTTTGTGAAAACAGAAATACAGAAAGGGTAAACCAGAAACTACTGAGATTGGTTTCCTTCACAGGGTAAGTGGGAACAGGTACAAGGGGCAGTAGGGGTAGTCACACTTCTGAGTTTAGTTTTGACTTAACATTTTACCTACTCAGATATAAAAGAATATCCTGAAGGATGGGAGAAACCCTACAGTGGAATACTCCCAGAAATAAAGGAACCTAATTGCATTTCAAGTGAATAACAGCCACACTTAAAGCAAGGAAAAAAGCTAACCTAGGGAACTTTTGACCACATTGTTTAAACTCTGTACTCTCTCAGTCTAAAGACGAAAAGAAATGCAAACAGTTGTGGACCCCTGATTAGCAAGCTTATTTTTCAGAGTGCTATGGACAGTTTCGCCTTCCGTATATTCTCGGTTGAGCAAATGAGTAAGTGTATTGAGGATAAAGGGCCGGGTTTCTGCCTGTTGAGAGGGAGTTACAAGTATGGAAAGGAGGATAACTAGGAGGAGCCTTATGGTGTTGGATTGGAACTGAAGGTATCAGCATTAAATCATCATTTCGAGTAAGAGTGTGAGGACAGAAGGGGCCATTTTCCAGCTCTGTCTGCTGAGAAGGCTTAGAAGCAGCGGCACCCCAGTAGCCTGAGCACACTTAGTGAGGCTCAGGCACAGGTAATATTTAAAAACTTCCTAGGTGATTCTAATGTGTGGCCAGGACTGAGAACCACTGACTTACATAGAACTGATGTTTATCTGACAAGTAGGAGTCTTCAGCTATAAGGCTGTCTTCCCCAACTGGTCATATATATTGGCTTATGTCTCTCTGCAAACTTTTACATTACCTTTTGTCAGTACTATTTATTTAACAATTCATGTGCTCTTTGTACCATTTTTGTATCTGGAATTGTTTCTCTTTTATGGGTTCATTTCTCCTTTCCTCAAATACAGTAACATTTTTTAATAATAATTAAATAAAAGTGTATTATTGGCAGCTTTCCACATTAGCTCATGTAAGTCTGTTGTTTATAACTGCAGAGTAAAGTTCCATAGTATGTGCATTCCATAGCTTGTTTATTTCTTTTCCCATTGCTTGACATTTATAGCCCTCCACCCCTTTTGTCATTATAAATAATGATTTAGCGAAGGTCTTTGTCTAGTCATTCACCCTCTTGCTCAAGACCAAGTATTCCAGAAGGGTCTGACTGGCTGAGCTTAAGTTGCATGCCCACTGTTTGGCTATACTGCGGAAGAAGAGGGAGGATCCAATCCCCTTGCAGCTGATGCTGTGAGTGGCCTTCGCCAAGGATTACACTCACACCAAGACTAGGAGGAGAAAGGGTGAAATTGCCTAAAAGGAGTGAGGAATAGGGATGGGTTCTAGGTCACATTCTTGCCCCAAAAGACTTTTTAGCCATGGTATCTTTCATTTTTATTATGAGTTATTTTATGTACATTATAATCTCTTTTGACCCTCACAAAACTATGAGCTGAGAATGGATAGGGCATGGAACTTGAGTTAGTGCATCTGGTATACTTCAGATTTTCACTCGAAACTCAGAAGAGCTAATTTGCTTGCCTAAGGATATCGATTGGTAGTCCCAGGACTCATCACAGGTTTTCTAATCTATAATCTAGCGGATTTTTTTTTTTTTTTTTTTAAAAGATGACCAGTAAGGGGATCTTAACCCTTGACTTGGTGTTGTCAGCACCACGCTCTCCCAGTGAGCAAACCGGCCATCCCTATATGGGATCCGAACCCGGGGCCTTGGTGCCATCAGCACCGCACTCTCCCGAGTGAGCCACGGGCCGGCCCAATCTAGCGGATTTTTACATCCTTCCACCCTACATTTGGTCTGGTCTCAGTTGGGCCAATTTTTCTTACAGGTTACATAAGGACAGGCTCAATCTCTTTGGCTCAAACTCAGGACCGGCTGATCTCCCTGAAGCGCATCAACTCAAGGCTGAAGTACGTAAGAGGCTAGAAGCCTGTCCTGACTTTACCACACTGACCTCAGCCAAAGGGCCAGTGAATGTCATTGTCCCCTTGTGTTCTGTGGCAGTGTTATAGGCATTCCTTCTGAGATCATCTCCCCCAAGAAAGTGGCTGAACTTCACCCTTTCCTCAATGTGCACGACCTGGTGGGGGCCATGCATGTTCCCGAGGATGCAGTGGTGTCCTCTGCTGATGTGGCTCTTGCCCTGGCAAGTGCTGCCTCCCAGAACGGTGAGCAGGTGTTTGCATTTCCTTAAGATGGTTAGGAAGGAAGACACACTAAGGAAGTGTCTCACAGTAGACATGACACTAACTCATGTTTGGAAAAATTATTCTCATTAGGGTATTCAGCTTCCAGTTTTGAACACTGATTCTTACAATTTTTTAAATATAATATCTGTTAATAGGTATTTTTCCTCATGGCCACATATTTCTTATCTGGGTTTCCAAGGGACTGCTTTTAGTGCTGATTAATGTACTTCAGACATAAGGGATTTTATTCCCCCCCGCAGAACTTGAGGAGCTCCAAGGTTAGGACACACCTCTGGTATTAATCCACAACTTAAATCATGACCCAGTGTTGCAGTGATGAGGGGAAGACTTATTAGTGTCCAAGGTGTTTTATACTTTGGATAAACTGATTCATGATGTGGGTAGATTAGAATTTAAGATGCCCTGTTTGAACTCTATTCCGTCCTGCTATATATTTGATTCCTGGAGTTTAAACATTGTTTACTAAAGTCTGTTTTTAAATTGACCTGCTATTTTCAATCTTGGGCAAGGCCCATTTACATAGTCTCAGGATTATTTGTTTTTTTAAATTAAAGCATTGACCTGACTTTTTCAGTGTTTCTTTTGGATAGAGAATCTGCTGCAGATGCCTTAATTCGGGAATATCAGATGATGCACTGACTCTTTCTTTACCTTGGAACAGGTGTTCAGATCTATGACCGTACAAGTGTTCTTCATGTAATGGTCAAAAAAGCTCAAGTTACTGGTGTGGAGACAGATAAAGGACAGATTGAATGCCAGTATTTTGTCAACTGTGCTGGTCAGGTAGGTTAGCAACAACACTTAAGTCGCTGATTTTGTTGTTTAACTTTTATGTCCAAGATTTTTTGGTGTAGAGACCTAGTATTAATATTACAACTGACTAACCAGACATAAGGGACTACACTGTTTCTTGTTTGGAACGGAAAACTCAGAATTTCTGTATTCTAAATTAGAAACCTATACTTAAATATACTTCCTCAAATAGGAGCATTCACGACCTCTTTCTTCCTCCACAGTGGGTCAATTGGTTCTGTCCTGGTCTGGAAGGCCAGCAGGCAGGCATTGACATGAATCACTGGCATGAGTCTTTTTATGGTGTTATATTTCATTCTACAGTGTAACAAATAAAATACTAGACTATTTTATTGTGTCAGGAATGTGGACTTAGTTTCCAGAACACTATACTGCTTCTACATTTAAGGCAGATTGGTCCCTCGCCTTCCGCTGTACAATCTGAAGGTGACCTAGGGACTACTTTTTGCCATGTGAAGTTCATTTAATGATTGATATTTGGGGTTTGTAGTTGAAGCCAGGCATTTTATTAAAAGGACCTCCTTTGGTCCCATGAACTTCTTTGACTTGCTGGTGAATCTTTCTTCCTTTGATCAAAAGTAACTTCTATGGTTTAAAAAGTATAGTGTTGCTCCCCATCCAAATAACTGAAACCAAGCAGGCTGAAACTTGGCTTCCCACACCTGACATTGTAGCAAGAGCACACATAAGCCACTTGAAATTAAACTCTTTTCAAGAGGCTGAACTTGCTCATTCGTATTTCTCTTCCTCTTCCCACCCACAAATAAATCTGTCCATTTGTAGTGGGCATACGAGCTGGGTCTGTCCAACGAAGAGCCGGTTAGTATCCCGTTACATGCCTGCGAACACTTCTACCTTCTGACTCGCCCCTTGGAGACCCCTCTGCAGAGCAACACACCAAGTGAGGACCTGTACTTTTTTTTTTTTTAAATCTTATTTCCTTGCCAATATTCTGTCCTCTGAAAAGGAAGACTTTCTGCTAAGGACAGACTGTGCCTTAAAGAGTCTTTTCTTGGAGCATGTTATAGGGAGGGAGACCCAATTATAACTTTTCTTTAGTAACTCTTTATGAAAGGGTGGCCAAAATGGGCATTGCACTAAGCAATTGTTTTTGGTTTTTGCAAGCTAACTTTAGTCTCAGACAGAGGTCATTGAGGATATTTGGAATGTAACCTTGAGTTTTTAACTTGAATGTTATAAATTGTAGAAATGTCACAGGTAAACTATGAACTTAGGTGGTTTAATGGCTGCAAGTGCTTTAGGAGAGGGTTTTGATATTGTTTTGAAGGTCTTAATGCCTAGAATGGGCTCTGCAATCCCTCTTTGTGTTAGACATTCACTTGGCACAGTGGCAATTATATCATTTGGTTGTGAGGACTAGTCCAAGCTAACTGATAAAGTTAGGGATAATCAGAGAAACAGTTTCCACTATAAGTCTGAGTGGATCTTCCCCATGACCTTGAAAGACATTTTAAAGCTAATGTTCATTGGATGCTATTTTGTTAAGAAAGTTATTAACAGGTGTTTTTGTTCTGTTTCATTTTCTGTCCATTTAGAAAAGTGGCTTGCCTCTAAACCCTCTTTTTTCTCTTCTACTCCCCACTCCCTTGTCATTTCTCTTCTTCAGCTATTGTGGATGCTGATGGAAGGATTTATATTCGGAACTGGCAGGGTGGCATATTGTCTGGTGGCTTTGAGAAGAACCCGAAACCAATTTTCACTGAGGGCAAGAACCAGCTGGAGATTCAGAATCTGCAGGAAGACTGGGATCACTTTGGTGTGTAAGCTGGACTGTAACAATAATGCCTTATACTTGTCTAAAATGTTATACTTCTCAAAGTGTTTTCAAGAGTAGTTCCTTTTTTAATCTTTATAACAACCCCATGAGGTGCAATAGTAGTTACAACAGACAGGCTACAGAGCTTGCTTGGTTTAAGGATGCAGTTACTGGTTAGCAGATTCAGGGAACTAAAACCTTGGTTAACAGACTGGTGGCTTATTACTTATTCACCTAAAATCGCTGCTGAAATTTTGGGCTTAGAGGAGATCTTCTTTTGGTAGGACTTCATGTAAAATTGAAAAGGTTTTTAGAAGGCAGAATTGTTTTGTTAATGTGGTCTTTTACTAATTTTTAAAATAATTTTTATTTTATTTATTGAATAATGAGTATAGTCACATGGCTTCAAATTCAAAAGATATGAAAGCTTCTCTAAGGAACGATTTCCCTCCTAACCTTAATCTTGATGGACTTTCTTTTAAACTTCTTATTATGGGAAATTTCAAACTTTTATTCTTTTTTTTTTTTTTTTTGTCTTTTTTCCGTGTCCGGCAACGGATCGCAACCCTCAGTGTCACCCCCGTACCGGACCAGGACCGGCAACGGGATCGCAACCCTCGGTGTTGCTCCCGCGCCTCACTCAGGCAGTGAGCGGGAACCGGTCCGCATGTGGGATCCGAACCCTCGGCGGGAGCGTCGCCACGCTTCCCAAGCGGCGCACTAGCACAGTGCACCACCGGGCCGGCCCGGAAATTTCAAACCTTCAAAAGTGGAGAGAGTAGTATGATGAACCCCTTATGTGCCCACTGACCAGCTTCAGTCTGGTTTCATCTGTTATCAGTATCCCACTGGATTGTGCCCAGATGATAGGTTTATTTTAAAACAGGGTTAGGATCTGTCTTTTGCAACTATTTTGATGTAGGAGAGCATTGCCTTTTATTGAAATCTCTGTGGGTGCCATTTGAGAGCTTTTGCACTCGTACTGACCCCTTCAAGATTATCTGTAGCCACATGTATTACTTGCTATTCTGTAGCTCCATTCCTTTCTTTTCTTTTTTTTTTTTTTTTCCTTTTTGTCTTTTTTACTGACCGGTAACGGGATCGCAACCCTCAGCGTCGCACCCGTAACGGGGACTGGCAACAGGATCGCAACCCTTGGTGTTGCGCCCGCACCGCGCTCAGCCAGTGAGCGGTCTCTACATGGAATCCGAACCCTCGGCAGGAGTGCCGCCACACTCCCAAGCGGCGCACTCTCCAGTGCGCCACCGGGCCGGCCCTTCTGTAGCTCCATTCCTTTCTAAAGGTTATCTTTTTTTTCAGTCTTTACGCCAAGCATTTTGCTGGTTTGTCCTGTATTTCCACCAGGTTTTCTGATTTCTGATAAATGGCCCAGCTGGCTGTTCTTAGAAAAATCTCTTCCAAGAGATTTTCTGAAAGGTGAGGGAGTAAAAAAGTATAAGGGTTTGAAAGCATTTTAATTCCTTAAAGGTAAGGACTCTGTTTGGGTTTTTGTCTATTGCTCAGAGCCCCTGTTGAGTTCCCTCCTGCGGAGGATGCCAGAATTGGAGACTCTGGAGATCATCAAGTTGGTGAATTGCCCTGAGACCTTCACACCAGACATGAGGTGCATCATGGGCGAGTCTCCTACAGTACAGGGCTACTTTGTCCTGGCAGGGATGAATTCTGCTGGCCTTTCATTTGGTGGTGGAGCTGGAAAGTAAGTCTTTTTCACACAGTGTCAACTATGAACATATGCCAGCTAGCTGGGCTTCTTCCCTTCTAGAATTAGTTGTTAATATGGTTTGTAATATATTTAATCTAGTATGTTAATAATAATGTTATCATTATACATGTAAGTTCAGAGTTGTCCCCTTCAAAGTAATTACCATGGTAGGCACTCCCCATATTCCAGAAATGGCACTGTGCAAAATATTTTTAAAACTCTTTTTTTGGAGTTAGCCACAGAGCCTGTGGGATGTGCTTTTATACTTTTTCAGTCATAACAAATGTTGGTCCTTTGAGTGTTTATTTGAGTTTGGAAGTTGAAAAGTGTGATGGGTGTGGTAGTTGATCAAGCTAGTTTTTATTTAAAACTTAGGTACTATTAAAAATTAAATAAACCCACAATCAACCAATTTACAACTATTAAAAAACAATGACTGCCAAGCTGGGACCACTAGAGCTCAGGGGAAGAAGAAAAGAGACCTATGGAATTCATGAAGGCAGGAGAAGCCACAATGAGAGAAAGGACCACTCTGACCATTTGGAGCCCTGACCACTTCCAGGCTGGCCCTGGTGAGCACATGGAACAAGAGCTGGCAAAAGCTGCTGCTGTGCCCTTTGTATGAAGTTGCTTGGAGGCTGCAAGGGAGAAGAGGGCCTGATAGCCTCCAGGCCAGCAAGACCACTGACAGCATTCCCGTGGACCCGCATAGGAGTGAGGGGCCACAGACAACCGAAAAAAGGAGCCACTCAAAGGCCAGTGAGCATCACAAGGGTCCGGCATATGGCCCACCCCCTTGGGAAGTGTTTGGAGTGTGGAGGGTGGTAGAGACGGGCCTACCAGGGGAACATGGAGCCACAACGGACAGCTGATCTACCCTCCAGTCAGCACAGGACCACTCAGTGTAGACTGGTCAGGAATATAGAACTGTTGAAAAGACTCAGGCCCAGATCAGAGTTTTCACACAACCCGGGTGTACAGGACTTCACAAGACCTGGAAGTGCTTACAAGGTCAGCAGTTAAAACCTGAGCTGCACAAAAAGCCTTCTCCAGGGAATCAGCAGCAAAGCAGAAATTTGGCTCAACCACAGGGCTCAAGTCCCCTGCTGGTCTCCACAGGAAGTTCCCCCATTTTGGAAGTAAGCAAAGGAAACAAATTAGTTCCAGAGCAGAGTTTAAGTGGTGGGAATAGAGAATAATCCAACACAGAAATGAAAGAAAAAACAAAAAACCCATTGATCAGAGATGGAGTTCTGAAATTAACCAGTAAAGGTCTAATACCACCAAAGAAAACCTATAAAACCTAGAAGGACCAGAAGCCCTCGGGCTCCTGAGCTGGAGCTATGGGGGCACCAAGGGCCTCAGCCACACCCCGGCGATGTCCGCATCCAGCCCAGTAATGACCACCAGGTCACCACTGGAAACATCCAAGGCACCTGACCCGGGGCAGTGGGGACCGAGGGCCTCAACCATACCCCCACAACATCTGCATCCAGCCCAGCGACAACCACTGTGGTTCTGCCAGAAGTGCCCTGGGATTCCAAGCTGGGGTGGTGGGGGCTGAGAGCCTCAACCATGCATCCCCCAATGTCGATGTCCGTATCTAGCCCAGCAATGATAACCAGGCCACCACCAGAAGCACCCCGACTCCTGAGCCAGGGCAGTAGGGGGTCAAGGGCCTCAGCCCCCCCTGCCACGTCCACATCTGGCTCAGTGATGAACACCAGGCCACCACTGGAAGAGCCCCAGGCCACCGAGCTGGGGTGGTGGGGGCCAAGGGCCTCAGCCACAAACCCCCCAATGTCAGCATCTAGCCCAGCAATGACCACTAGGCCATTGCTGGAAGTGCCCCAGGCTCCTGGGTTGGGAGGGCACTGAGGTCCTCAGCCATGCCCCCCAAAGTCCACATCCAGCCAGACCACAACGAGCTACCACCGAAAGCCCCTGGGCTCCCCTGTTGGAATGAGGGGAGTGCCATGGGCCTTGACCACACCTCCCCCCTTCCTCTTCCTCCCACCCTATCCTCTCTTCCTTCCCCTCTCCCCGTCCCCCAACTGCTCTGCAACAGTATCTCAGAATGTGAAAAATAATAATAATAATTAATTTTTTTTTATTTTGTCAATATACAATGTGGTTGATTATTATGACCCATCACCAAAACCTCCCTCCCTCCTCCCTCTCTCCCCTCCCACCCAAGAGTGACCTTTCCGTTTGCTTGTTGTAACACCTTCAAAGAAATTGTAGTTGTTATATCTTCTCCCCCCCGCCCTGGTTTTGTGTGTGTGTGTGTGAGTGAATTTATTTGTGTATTTCTACCTCCCACCAATAAGTGAGAACATGTGGTATTTCTTTTTCTCTGCCTGACTCATTTCACTTAATATTATTCTCTCAAGGTCCATCCATGTTGTTGCAAATGGCAGTATTTCATTCGTTTTTATAGCTGAGCAGTATTCCATTGTGTAGATAAACCACATTTTCTGTATCCACTCATCTGATGATGGACATTTGGGTTGGTTCCAACTCTTGGCTATTGTAAAGAGTGCTGCAATGAACATTGGGGAACAGGTATACCTTCGACTTGATGATTTCCATTCCTTTGGGTATATTCCCAGCAGTGGGATAGCTGGGTCATATGGTAGATCTATCTGCAATTGTATGTGCTTTAAAACAGTTTTTTTTTTCTAGTTTGTTTTTACTAACTTTTACATTTATGCCTTTATCATATTAGGGGATTTCTCAACTACACATTTCTAAATATTGTCTCTTTCCCATTCTATTTCCCCTCTTATCTGGGATTCCACAAATATATTTTAGATCTTAACACTTTATTTG